CTGAGGGGGATTTGGGGGGGTCTGGGGGCTTTTGGGGGGTCCTGAGGGGGATTTGGGGGGCTCTGGGGGCTTTTGGGGTTTTTTTTCCCCCTTTTTTGGGCGGTTCGAGGGTGGAAAAAACCCACCACGCCCTAAAAATTAAAGAAAAAAAATGGTTCCCCCTCATGAATTATTCACGAGCCTCCCGCGGGCTCATTTGCATATTCATGAGGCGCCCGCTGCATTATTCATGAGCGGCGCGTTAAATCCGGGCTAAAAATATATATTAAAAAACCAGGGATTTGGGAATTGGGAGGGTTGGGAAAGGGGGGGAAAGGGAGGTTTGAGTCCTGGAATGAGGGGAAAATCACCAAAAAAAGGGGAATTTTTAGGCTTTTATGGGGAATTTTTAAGGCCCTAAGGGGGAGCTTTAATGAGATACAGGAATAATATATTGATTTAGGTGTTATTAATATGTGGTTTTATAGATAGATAATACCACCAATATAGAATAATAGAGGAATATTTTATGTATTAGGGAGTCTCTTATTTTATTAGCAATTTTTGCTGTATTTTATACATTTATATCAGCATTTCTTGGTAGATATTTGCACGTTATACTGTTATCTCTTGCATATTTTTATATAAATATGTCTTATTATCAGCTCTTTATTATTAATAAAATATTTTATTAATTACTGTGATGTTTTATTAATCATCTTATTAATATTTATTATTATCTATTATACATTATACCAATATTAGATACATTTTCATCATTTTATTAATATCTCCTGGTGTTACGTATTCTGTTATTATTTCAAATATATATATTTATCAATCAGTGAACGTTTTATTGCTGCCTTAAGAGGTAGAAATTTATCAATACATTATTAATGTATTATATGGTTGTATGTACTGTACTTGCATATGCTATGTATATTTTTGGATATAATTTATAATTTACTTATATATTATATGATATATTATGTTTTATATATTTCTATATTATAAATTACAGATAATTATTATTTATTTTATTTATATATTTATATTTATTTTATATATTTATA